TCACAGATGCTGGTGAAACGTTAGGAAACAAAACTTCCAGAACATGGCCACACAGCCCGGAAGCCCCACACCAGCCATAGTAGACTGGTTCTTCATAACCTTTCCAGGACAAGTAGAAGTTGGGAAATTGCCCACATGTGCTTTGGTCAGCTGCTCCTCACAAGGAGAATGCAGGCAATGGTCTCCTGCGGGTTTGAGTGCTAGGAGAAGAAGGGATCAATCATCAAGCTCACAACCACAGCGGAGCCATTAAGTTCACTAACCTTGCTTCTAATCACCTTCAGAAGTTCCTTATGTAACCATCTTGAAGCTATTAGAGATTTTTGGAATGACAAGTTTGAAAAGCCACCTGGTGAGTCTGTCTTCATTTCTCAACAAAAGAAAAATTAACTGTTAGTTTAAGAACTTAAAGAATTTGAAATAAACAGCAAAAAGCTAAATAAGATTTTGAACCAAGAAAGTTATAAACGAATTAAGGGTCCAGACAAATTTGGGATATTGAAACTTTTACTATAAGATTTTGGAACTAATTATATAAAATAAACAGCTTTTCATGGGAACCAAATTTATTTTGTCTACTGTAAGTCATAATAGACATTAGAGACTTTATTATTTAAATTAGACACTAGAGGAGACTAAAGATTCCAGGCCCCCTCCCCCAAAAAATGCCTTTGGTTTTTATTAGGAGTGGGATTTACAAAATTACACAAAACACTACAACATTTGAAATATTAATGGAAATCTTCGAAGAATAGGGCCACAGATTAGTAGCCACAATATCAACGATATCAGTAATGATGTCTGTTTCTATGGATAGACTATGTCTAAAGGATGTCAATGAAGGAATGACAGATGTGAAACAAATCTTGCTGGATGCAGAAGTAGTAGAATCAGAAATATTGGATAAAAAAAACTGGATTACAAGACAAAGAAGGCATTTAACGTGGAAATACAAGTGACAGGCCAAGAGAATGACCTCAATAAGGACTCTTTACTGAATATACAAAAGAAGTTTTAAAAATTAAAGGGGAAATCCAAATGAAAAACCAAGATAATGACCTGGATAATGGCTTTTTATTGGATTTAGAGAAGAGGCTTGTTAAAGCTTCGAAGAAGGCTATGCAATGAGACAAAGAAGAGTTGAAGAGAGATCAAATCCTATGACAATATTGAATGAATTAAAGATTAAGATTTTAAGAAGTAAAAGGAAGGAATGTAAAGTTGGTTTATTTGATCAAGGTTAAAATAAGACATTTTTAATGAAATTCTGGCAACCCTTTATGGACTTTTTGCTAACATCAGGATTGAAAAGTTGAAGTCTTATGGATGTGCTTATAGATAAGGGATGAGTCATGGGAAGGAATGATATCTGTAACCTTGTAGGGGGTGAGGAGCTACCAAACTTATTTATACTTGTTGTGATGAAGATCGGAAGTCGCTTCTTTATATATTTCTTTTCTTTTTCTTTATTTCAGTCTTTCCTTTTTCTTTTCTTTTTAAAAACTTTTTCTTTCTCTGTACTTTTTACTCTCTCTTTTTACTTTCCTTTCTCTCTCTGAATTTAGTCTCTATTAGTTTTTATTACTGTCATTAAAATATTCAATAAGAGAGTAGGGGGAGGGAGAAAGATCAAGAATGAAATGTTGACTGAATGCTAAATTGAGCAACCAGGGTGAAATAATATGCTGAGATGGTTTGGTCATATAGAGAGAATGAATGAGGATCAAATTTTAAAATAAATACATGAAGGAGGAGAGGATGCATTAAGAGGAAGGGATCACAAGAAAGTCATGGTTGGATGGAGTTATTAGATCCTCCAAAGAGAGAGCTGATGGGTTTCAAAAACAAAGGCAGTTTATCAAGTGGTGTGTGGATGTCATGGAGGTGATGGTTTGCACAAATATAAAGGTATGAAGGGGCAGAGTGAATGGTGTTGGTATAAACTAGATTTTGCTCTGTTTCCTTTTATTTATTTTAATGGCATGCATTTACTCTCTCTGGCATACTATTGCATACTCCTTTTCTGCATATTATCCTCCCTGAGATTAGACTTAACACAACCCTTTTGCAAATTTTTAAAAACTTGGCTTTGCCATCTAGCCTGGGGTTCTGGCAGTATGTGGGAGCCCATTTCATGGTTAATTTGAATGCAGGACATTATGAATGTTCTCAGCAGCTCTTTGTTTTTTAAATTTTGGTGGTTTTATCCTGATTTTATTTGTTTTTAATTTTAGTCGTCCAGACTCATATATATGAGATGGAGGCCATATACATTTATTTATTAAATAAATAAAGTAACAAACACTGCAAAATCCAGAATATTACACACTTTCTTATATAACAGTGCTTCAATCTGGATATTTGTCCAGGACGTGTGAAATCAAACTGTGAAATTTAAACTGTGTGTAAAACAGGGTCTCTGGAATCTTTTGTCTAGTTTAGCAGTTGTTTTAAGTCAGTGGGATCTATAAAGTCATAGCTCACTTCACCTGCTGATTTCAAAGGAAACTGAGTTCCAATGTGAGTCCATCACAGTCTTTTTAGATGCGTATCTGTGATCGGTTAACCAAATGTAGGTCTATATCGTGTGAATGCAATAGAACAATTCCAGTTAGTGCACAGCCCAACTTTTTAATACTAATCACAGTCAGATGAAACAGAAACATTTGCTATTTGAGCTAGATATGCTGTATAAGAGACAACTGACTTCACAATTACTGAAAATATTTCTGTTTTTTCTTACAGGGCTCATAACTACAACTTCAAGAAAGCTAGATCGTGAACAGCAGGCAGAACATTTTCTTGAGGTAAGATAAAGATAGTGAAGGGACGATCCAGTTTATAGGTTTTGCACAAATGAACCTTCCCTTCTGTTCATCACTTTTCTTCAATTCCTTAAACATAGTTCCTTTCCATTCTGATTCTGCTACATACAAAAAAGAGTCAGACATAATTTACCCAGAGATCACAGTTGCAAACCATCAAGATGTGAACTGGATTTGAAGGTCCCAGTTAACCATTAAACTATGATCTATTATTTAGTTGTGGTTTAGGATGGGTACAGTGGTAAAATACTGATTTTGTTGAAATGAAGCTACTGTTGAATAAACTATTCTTACCTTGATCTGCCCACACACTAAACTATAAAACTTCATTTACAAATTAACAGAGGCTCAAGTCACATACTGTGTGCTAAGACAAACCAAATAAATTACATTGTGATCTAGGAGATTTATGGACCTAGTCAAATGGTGAGAATTTGGTAGTGTAAATGTTTCATGTAGGATTTGGTATTTGAATGAGTTACTGTTGACATACGACATTTTTGTGATGCATAGTTTATTTAGACATAAGTATAAATATAGATAAAGATATAGATATATAAAATTGAGCAAAAGTGGAAACTCAGAGCTTCACTGTGCTTCAGAAGACCCTACTGCTCCTTCAGATTCCTAGGAGAAAATCTAGCATCATGGAGTTCATGCAGAAAGTAACTCAAAATTCTTTGTGTCCATTTTCCAGTCCCTTCCAACTGCATCCATTTTGTACACTAATTTTCAAAATGGAAATAAATTGAGGAAAGCAGAGTCTCTTCAGTATAATCAACCAGTTTAAACATTTGGGGACATTCTTTAATCCTGAAGCTTTTATCATCAGTCATTAGGTCAGGATAATAAGCTTTTAGAATTTGGAAGGTTCAACGATTGCAAGAAAGAGCAACAACAGGGAAAAAAGTTGTTTTCAAGGGCTACAGCTGATGATGCGGTGACATTTGCAGAGAAATGAGACTGGAATTTTTAGTCCCTTTATTCAGATGTTGGGGTTGGGGGAGGGAGTGATTGTATTCCTTACTTTTAAAAAAGCAGAAAATTGTACCACCGTGCTTTTGTGTTTTGCTACCAAATTTTGGCGATATGGTTTTGAATGGTGCTAAGGACCTCAAAAAAAGAGACTTGTGGACCTATATATACAAGCTCTTTTTCAATGGATCCTTGGACAAACTTCAAATCTCAGAACAATATGATATATAGCCAAGTTGAAAATGAGGCAGGAAATTGGATGTCATAATTTTATATAGGGCCTGCATGGATTTTACTGATTGTGCCGGTCAGTAAATCAAATATTTCCTATAAGTACCCCCTAAAATGAAGAGGGAAAGCATCTATATGTAGTAAGAAGTGCCAACTAGCTAAAGTATTTCACAAGCACCCCTTAAAAGAAAATCATGTTGTCTATTTTTAATTGGAGAAGAAATTGCAACGTTTATTAGACTTACACTAAATCAGTAGCATTGATTGTGGGATTTGGGAGATGGGAATAATGGAAATGAGCACACAAAACTGTCTTGCTGGCCATTTAACTATGTGATTGTAGAGGGAATGAATTAGTTACAACAGTGAGTGGACTGCATGTTTTCAGGAGCTCTGTTTATTGTTCATTGTTTGTGTTGTGTTGACACAGGGTTCGGTTCTCAGGCTAGTATGGATTTGGAAGATGGAAATTGACACCTATAGGCTCACCCATTATAAACGGCCCTGCCTTTATGGTTTAGAATATAAATTGATTCTGGTGGGAAATAGTTTATTTGCTGAAATTCTTGTAATCCTGTCCCTTTCACTTTAGTAAATCTTGTTAGGAAGATTTCAGTGATTCATGTCAGGGGAAAAGCTTACTTAAAGTGAAAGTAAGCTTTTCCCCTGACATGAAGTCTATAGCTACAGTTTGGAAGCCAAGATCCACCAACTTGGACCTGGTACAAAAACATTCAGTTAGAATTTTAAAGTTTTAAATTTACCTCATAGCTTTTCTGTTTGGGCCATGGGTTACCATAAGCTTTGTTTTAGAATATAATTTATGGTGTTGATTCTAAGAATCTTGTTTACCTCCTGTGACTTCCAAGAAGAGTCCTGCTGGAATACACAGAAGGCAATCTTGTTGCCAGCCACATATTTCTGGGAAACCACTATCAGATCCAGATAGTGCTGGACAGGGAAATTGTCCTTCCCCTTTTTCCTTCAGCTGGATGAACAAGAATTTGCTTTAGTAATCCTTTTGAAAGAAAAAAAGAATTTTAGCCACAAATTCTTTCTGGTGCTGTAGTGGATTTTGATTAACCCAAAAGAGTTAAACCTGTCCTTCTATATAGTGAGCAGAGATCATCAGTACCCAGGAAAATCCAACTCTGAAGAACCAATCAAATGTAGGTGGCCTTCAAAAAGATAATGGGAAAGCTCCATTTTTTGCCATTGTTCTTTTGCCATCCATCATGGTAGGAGATTGTATCACTTCTCAGTCTTGCTTCAGCCAGGTAATTGAACTGTCCCAAATCAGAAAAGGGATTGGGGAAATAGAAGAAAATAGCTATCAAGTGGGGCTACAAGCAGATTAGGATCCTTTCATTGAGTTACTTTATGGATTGATCTCAGCTGCGCCTTGGTATCCTGAGACCTGTTTTGTTCTACCTGTATTGTGTCTGTGTGTGCGTGCATGTGTGTGTGCAAATGTATATTCCTACATGGAAGAATTGCCACTGAGTAAAGCCTGCAGGAGTCATGATATTTTCTTTTCCTTTTTTCCCATTGTCTTCAAGTCTCAGTTACATTATAAAAGTCTTCTATCCTTTTCTGGAATTCTGTGGAACCCTTTCTCTGTTGTTCAAGCAGAGAATTTAGCCTCTCACGCATCCTGGCCACTCTGCTGAGCTACAGGAAGGGCAAGAAAGCCAAGAATAGAAGGTTTTCCACTTTTCCTCTTGAGTAAAGGGGCAGAGGGGAATTTCCTCAGGAGTAAAGGATTGAATAGTGGTCATCTACAAAACAGATTTTCCCCAGGTGACTGGGAGGATGCAACAGCCAGGATTATGGGGGAAAGTCTTAAGTATCCTCCCTTGAGGGAGCTGGAGAGACCAATCTGTCTCCTCATTACTGGTGGAGTATGAGATTCCTTTACTTATTTAACTATAAGGTGACCAAATGTTGAATCAACACTCTGTCCTTCTAGCTGTTTGCACCCTCCATGAATTAAATCCCAAGAGAGGGAGTCATCATAGAACACATCTCCTTGGGCTTTTTCAATAGGGGTGTCGTTCAACAATTTTTGGAGAATTAAATTTTCAGTACATGATATTAGAGACACCATTTATCTATTTTATTTTTTCCACAAATTTGCTGAAGAATTTCAGAATGCCATTTTTGCCAAACTCCACAGCCCAACCTATCTCCTATTCTCTACTGTTTCAAGACTTTCACGATTAGTACAAGTCAGAATATGGACAGATAGATACCAGTTTGGAGGCCCAGATTGATTTCACCTCTTCTTCCTGCCCTGACAGGTCCACTTAATACATGCCTAAAACATTTACTCCTTCAGTACTTTTTTCCCAAACAACAAAACTCTTAACAGTTTAGCCCTAAATTGTCTGGAGGAGACAATTCTTTCTTTTATGACATTTGCAAGTAGTTTCTGAAATGTTTGGCTCTTAAAGTGATTAATTAACCTCCTGGGGGAGCCCTTAATTGTCAGTATTACTATGGTCTCCCTGTTTTACCACTGGAACTTTCCGGATTTTTTTTCATACTCTTCCTCCCATTGGTGTCTGATTGGCATTAAAAGAAAATAAAATTGGCTCCTTTTGAAAAGATATCTAATTGGTGATGGACCTAAAAGCTTCCGTTTTCCGTTCACATGGGGTAGGAATGTATGAAAGGAATGGAGGTGGGTGTTGATGGGCCCCAGTGAGGACGGAAACTTTTAAATTGTTTCTCATTTGCTCTAAATTAGACAGTGATGTAATACTCTTAAACATCTATTCATAAGAATTTGTACAAAGCTCAAATAGGTTGAAAGAGCTGGAAGCAAAACAGAAAATCTGAAGATGTCTAAAAAGAATGAACATATTAACTTAGTGAGATTTTTGTTTATTGTTCATTAAGGTGATTTTGGAGGGGGGGGCATTCACGATAATTTCCCTGGATAGTAGGAGCCTGCTAACTCTGTCTGTGTTGTTATTTTGCGTTCCAGTATATATCATCTCTGTATTTATTTACAATGAATTTGCTGATAATGCTATCATCATTGTGTCATGGGTTCTTTTTAAACTATACTCAATTTGATTGACTCAGATGCAAAAGATCCATCAAAAGCATTGGCCCCTAGACACTTGGATTTGTATATCTCCCTATAAGGATTGGGCAGATGTTTTATTTTGAAAAAAATATCCAAGATACAAAAGTGAAACATAGAAACATATGAGTGCTTTCTATAGCTATTATCATGCTGGCTGGGGAATTCTAGGAGTTGAAGTCCATACATCTTGAAGTTGCCAAGTTTGAAAAACACTGGTTTAAACCATTAAACCAGTGGTGTCGAGAGGAAGGGGTGTCCGATGGATCAGTCTGATAAAGCAGCATCTCTCTGTCATGATGCCAGCCTGACTCCTTTTGAACGTATATCATGACATCATCAAAGGGTCCAGGCCTGCAGTACAACACTGTTTTTTTTGTGTTTTTTTTTTCACAAAAGCAGCAGGAACTTACAAATGCCCATATATTAAATTGTTACTTTTGGAGGTGCAGAATATACTCTCAACACCCAAATATTTCTTTTTAACTCCACCGTCTGTTACGCTCACACTCCCTATTCTTTCTCTGGAGCTTTTCAGTACATCCAGTATATTTTCCATGTTGTTTTCATGTTGGTTTTTTTGTTACGCAAATTGCCCTAATGCAGATTTTTTTTTTTAAAGATGCAACTTTCCCAGTAGAAACATCCAAGCAAGTTACTATATATAAACCACCAGCAAAACCCA